AGCACCCACCCTCTGGAACGAGCTGCCCCCAGAGATCCGGGTGATCCCGGATCTCCCCTCCTTCCGCCGCGCCCTTAAGACCTGGTTATTTCAGCAGGCAGGACTGGCCTAGGGGTATTTTAAAGGGGTTTTAAATTAAATTTTTAGTAGAAGCGGCCAAATTTGAATAGTTATTTTTAATCTTTTTTAAATTTTGTATCGTACTGTACCATTGTTTTAAACTGGCTGTAAGCCGCCCTGAGTCCTCCGGGAGAAGGGCGGGGTATAAATTTAATAAAATCAAATCAAAAATCAAATCAAATATAAAAGCTGCCGAGAAACGTCAAATATTCCTTTTGACAAAGCTACGTATTTTGATACTTTTAATGGCCACTTAAGATATCACCAAAAAAGAATGACTGGGTCACTGACTGACTGACTGGAGGGAGAAAGGAAGGAAGAATAGAATTAGATTAGATTAGAATTCTTTATTGTCACTTTAAATGCACACTAAGCATACATTAAAATGCAATTTCGCTGCATTCAGCTCTCAAATGCTGTTTTGCACACACACACACACGACACAGAGAAACATCACTCTAGTTCAAATGTATACAGTACATATACATAGCGAAAAAAAGAATCCTGTGAATTTACAAGACGGATGGCATAAAGAACAAAGGAAAGGAAAGGAAAGGAAAGGAAAGGGAAGGAAGGAAGGGAGGGAGGGAGGGAGGAAAACAAAGGGCTGTTAATGATGAGGGAGAAGAATTTAATCTCTGGGGCTGAAAAGGTTTTCTGACGGAAAACTCCAGCCAATTTTATTTTTATGGAATGATGGAAAACTGCTGAGAGATTGGGCTTTCTGGAATCATAAACCACATTCTGGACTTAACAGGACTCAGCATACTAACTCTTCCACACCGTTTATGATTGTGTGTGCCCACATGCGCCTCCAACTGATTTGTGATTTCTGGCGACTGCCTGGACGAATCTCTGCCCTTTTCTTGGTTACATTTTTAAAAAGGTTTTGTCAAAATACATATATTACGATTTCTGGTAGCTGTTAATGGGGCTGCTTTTTTGACCAGAGGTCTGTGACACGGCTTCGAAGATTTATTTATAAATGGAGAGAAATTTCTTCTCCTTTATTTCATAGAGACAGGGATAAGTTGGGATTATAAAATTGAATTTTTGATTAAGATTAAAATATATGTTAATATTTCTTAATGAAATGGGCTTTGGCTGATTAGGACTGAACGATGAGTTTCTTGTAATCTGATTGTTGATATAGGATGAGTTATTAGAGGGTTTTTTTTAAAAAAAAAATAAGTACCAGAGAAGGTGTTATAATTATTTATACTGGTTGGGGGGAGAGTCATCTTTAATAATAATAATAATAATAATAATAATGATGATGATGATAATGATGATAAAGTTGGAAGGGACCCTGGAGGTCATTTGGTCCAACCCCCTGCTCAGGCAGGAAACCCTATACCATTTCAGACAAATGGCTATCCAGTTTCTTCTTAAAAACTTCCAGTGTTGGCACATTCAGTGTTGGCGCATATATTTCCTCTCTTTTCTGTTCTTTTTTCTTATTTTTCTGAACTTTTTTATATTGTTCACTGGTATTAGTTTATCTCTGCGTTGTAAACTTTAATAAAATTACAGGTAGTCCTCAATTTACAACAGTCCAATTAGTGACCGTTCAAAATTACAACGGTACTGAAAAAAGTGACTTATGACCATTTTTCACGCTTACCGGCATTGCAGCTTCTCCGATGGGTCATGTGGTCAAGATGAAAAAGCTTGGCCACTGGTTCATATTTATGGTGGTGGCAGCTTCTGGGATTGTGTGATCACGTTTTGCGACTTTCAGACAAACAAAATCAATGGGGAAACCAGTTTCACTTAACAACTGTTACCGATTTAATAACTGCAGTGATTCACCTAACAAATGTCTCGCTTAGCAACATAAATCTTGGGCTCAGTTGTGGTCGTTAGTCAAGGATTATCTGTATTATTTTAAAAAAAGACAAATTTCATCCTTGCATTCCGCTTAGGGATTAGAGAGAGAGGGACTCGCAGGACTAAAACTCACATTCTCCTGATGTTGAGCATTGTTATCAACCTGGCTTGTACTTATGATAACAACTTAACAAAAAATAGGCCTCAGCTCTCAACTCCAGGCTCCTTATACCTCTTGATTGTCCATCCTGAGGGATGCAGAAACTTGCTTAGGGGTTTTTGTTTTTTTTTACACTTTCCAATTTTTTTTTAAAAAAAACATGATTTTAATATGGACGACGTCTTCTTTGCTTTATTGAAATATTGGTCAGGAAAAGGGAAAGAGATAGTCACCAATTCATTCTTGTTAATACAAACCATGAATTCAATGGGATACATCAATGCACTTCGACATTTAGCGGAGTATATTAGCATTAATATCAGCATTAAGGGACGGGGGGGGGGGGAGTCCCAAAGGTGCTTTTTGAAGAGGCAACTGGACTTGTTTTTTCCTTGAAGATATTTCACTTCTCCTGAAGAAGCTTCTTGGATAAGAGAAATGTCTTCAAAGAAAAACAAAGGAAATCCAGTTGTCTTATGAAAAAAGCACGTTTGGGACAACCATGACCTGGATGACTGAGAATCTCCATTAAGGAGGGGGGTGTGTGGAAACTAGAGTTATGAGAAATTTCTTGTTTTTTCCTTCTACAATTGGGTGGGGAGATTATAAATTTTAATTTATTCTAATAAATTTTAAAACAACATCCTAAGAGAGAAACCTTTTCTGTACACCGGTACGTGATCTCATCTCTTCGTGCTGCGACAGAAACTCAAAAATGCTTTTGTTTGCACATTTCAGAAGGACAGAACAAAAATAACAATAGAAGGGACCTTGAAGGTCTTCTAGTCCAGGGCTTTTCAACCAGTGGTATGGGTACCATCTGTGGTACATTGGCACCTGGCAGGTGGTACGTGACCATCCTAGAAAAGTGGTAGCAGGGGAAGGGAATGAGCTGAACCAGTGGCAGCACCGCACAAACCTGAGTGAGAGATGGCTGGAGCTGCAGGCCTGTCAGGGCTCAGTGGAAGCACCAGGATCCATGCTGCTTTCCAGCTGATCGGTGCTTCTTCAGGACTGTCAGGGCTCAGGGGAAGCGCCAGGATCAGTGCCAGGCTCCAGCTGGAGCTCGGCACTGATCCTAGAGCTTCTGCTGAGCCCTGAAGAAGCATCAATCAGCTGGAACTCGGCGCTGATCCTAGCGCTTCTGCTGAGCCCAGAAGAAGCACCAATCAGCTGGAATGTTGCAGCATCTCCAGGGTCTTGTGATTTACATTCAGATGCTTGGCAACTGATTCATATTTATGACGGTCACAGTGTCCTAGGATCATGTGAAGTGACCAAAACCTGCTACAACCACCCAGCAGGCAGAGGGAATAAAAATCAAACACCTCCCCACCCCACCCCCGCTGCCAATCCTCAACAGAAATGCTCCCAACAATGAAAACCTCGGACAGGAGGAAGAGCGCTGCCGGGTGGGCAGGCAGGTGTCTTGCTCGGCTGTGGCTTGAAAGGCACTTTTTTCAGTGCCATTGTAACTTTGAACAGTCACTAAGCAAACTGTTGTAAGTCGAGGACTACCTGTACTTTATCACTTTTTTCCTTTTTTTTTTTGGTCATCAAGTTTTTGACACCTTGCTAGGCGACTGGTGGTACTCGGATATTGCTATATCCTAAAAGTGGTACAATGGGTGAAAAGGTTGAAAAGCCCTGTTCTAGTCCAGCCCCCTGCTCAAGCAGGAAACCCTATACCGTTTCAGACAAATGGGTGTCCAATCTCTTCTTAAAAACTCCCGTGTTTGAGCACCCACAACTTCTGGAGACAAATCGTCCCACTGATTAAAAATGGCTAGCTCAGAAGATAAATCTTTTTGACATCCTATATCCTCAGTCTGTTTTCTCCCTAGTCTGAATTCTTACATGCCTTCTGGTGAAAGCTCTTCTTTCTACAGTCCGTAAATTGGTAGGGTTTCTTCCCCGTGTGAATTTTTTCATGTTTAATAAGGTCAGAACCACGAGCAAAGCATTTTTTGCACTCCAGACATTTATAGGGTTTCTCTCCAGTGTGGATCCGGTAATGGGAAGTGAGGGAGCTATTCTCGCTGAAACTTTTTCCACACTCCAAGCATTTATAGGGTTTCTCCCCCGTGTGAGTCCTCTCGTGTATACTCAGCTGGGTATTACAAATGTAACACTTTCCACACTCCGAGCACTTGTAAGGTTTCTCTCCTGTATGATTTCTTCCGTGCCTGATCAGGTCCGAACTGCAAAGGAAGCGTTTCCCACACTCCAGACACGCAAAGGGCCTCTCGCCAGTGTGAGCTCGTTGGTGTCTACCCAGCTGTGAATTCCAACTGAAGCACTTCCCACAATCTGAGCACTTGTAGGGCTTTTCCCCCGTGTGAGTACGCTGATGGATAGCAAGATTTTCTTTCCGATTGAAGCATTTTTCGCACTCTGGACATTTGTAGGGTCTCTCTCCGGTGTGGGTTCTCCGATGGATACTGAGTTGCGTGTTACAAACAAAGCACTTCCCGCACTCCAGGCATTTATAGGGCTTCTCTCCTGTGTGATTCCTTTCGTGGATTAGGAGCTCAGAGCTGCAGACAAAGGATTTCCCACAGTCCAGGCAGGTATACGGCCTCTCTCCAGTGTGCGAGATTTGATGTCTAGTTAGCTGGGAGTTCCAAGTGAAGCTTTTCCCGCATTCTGAGCATTGATAGGGTTTCTCCCCTGTGTGAGTGCGTTGATGGAGGGTCAGGTTTTCCTTCCGGTTGAAGCACTTTTCGCACTCCA